CGCTCAATTCTCTCAATCTCTCGCAAAATCAGGGAAAGAAAATTCCCGTCGCTGTCTTTCTTTTTCCCTCACGATAAGAAATCTGAATCCATCATCGCGGCCCCTGCTCGCAAGCCTCCTCCGCGACGGCATCACCACCGGAAAGCGAATCACCGCCGTTTGCTGCACCTCCGGCGACCTCTGGACGCGCGCAGCAACTCCTCCGCCGCTACCAGTTCTCCCGGCGAGACAAGCAGCGGCCCTCCTTCCTCCGCGAGGTTCCTCTGTCCGCGACTCCGCCTGCGAGTTCTCCTCCGCCGAGGCCTGTTATCACCGGCGAGCTCATCCTCTGTCACCTGCCGAGAGCCGCGACCAGCAGCAGGTTCCGGCGAAATTGTCCTCAGCCTCGCGACCCTTCCAACAAGCAGCGGTGGCCATCGTCGTTCAACGACTCCTTGCCGGCTTCTTTTCGAGCAACCCTAGCCTGCTACCGGGAGCACACGAGTAGACCCGAGCCATCAAACATCGATCAGTGGTTGTTCTTCCCATCACCGAGAGCCGGCAGCGACACCGTCTTTCGCCGAGCAGCCCCGTTCGTGTGCGAGGGGAGCCCGAAACAGCAAGGGCAGCTTTTCTGGCCGTGTGGGAGGAGCAGTGACAGCCCTTCGAGACTTTTGCCGAGCAGCCCTGTTAGCACAAGCAAAGCCGAGTTCGGTCCCGAGCCGTGCGTGTGTGATAGCGGCTTGTCCGAGGCCCGTGATTCGAACCCTCTTTCATCTGTTTCTCGTTTATTCCCGAAGGAGGTATATGGCTTGACCTTCTTCAATCAATTTCGAGTTTAAATTGAAGGATTATGTAGGATTTTATGTTCATGGCGATGAGACGCACTATTTTAAATATCTTGTGATTTTATGCGTATGTATATATATATCATGTTGAATGTGTAGATGAACTCGTCGATTTTGAGAAATCGAAAGAGACCTCGTCGTTTCGTGTTTAAGTTGCTGTGGATTGGAACATTTAGTTGTCCTTAGTCTTATGGCGAAGACTTTGGATGAATTCGTCGCAAAACGAGTCGGTTATGAATTAATGAAATTGTTTAGTCGCTGCTTTAGTAAATGAATTATGATGAATTGTGTGATGCTCGTATTGCTGTGAAATTTTGTGTGCTTGACCCTCTGCTGGAAATATATGTTGTGTAAAAATTTCATGATTTTAGGAGGTCTGTAGCTATTTTTAATAATTAAGTTGAAATCTGTCCAGAATATTGTTAAA